CAAAACCCCAAAACCCCAAAACCCCACAGAGTAAGATAAAATTATTCATCGAGAGAGATAGATATTATAACAGGATAAGAGTTTGATTTAAAAGATGTTAGTAAATTATTTTTGAAATTTTTAGAATGCTAGTAGAATCCCAGCAGCTGTTGTTGGAGTAGTTCTTTAACAAGTCACTTGAGCCCTATCTGCAAATGATAGACCAACTGAAGATCAGATAGAAAGAAAAGGAGGCAGAGATCATAGTGCTAAAGTACGCTCTCTTGGAGATGGACTGAAAGTTCTAGGAGATTGAAAAGAAACAGTAAAAGAGTGTCACTGGCAATGCTAGCACTGCTGGAACGAAAGCCGGATATAGACCTGGAGTTCTAAATACAAGAACTCAAATCAACAGAACATCACTGACTAGTGCTAAGGGTTCTAAAGTCAATACCCCCAGAGAGGGTTCAAAGGCAATAGGAAGATAGCCAACTTAGACAAGTGCAGCTGGCAGAGAACGGTCAAAGACACCATCAGCAAATATGTCGGGCACTCGAGGATTTTAGAACAAGTTGAATCAGAGTATGCATACTAATAGAGGGAAAGATGGGTTGAATCAGACTGCTATTAGTTCTAATGGAAGGCAGAGCTTTGGAGGAGGCACTAGAGCCAATTCTAATACAAGAAATGATCATTAATCTTAAACGAGAGGATAAAACTCTGCAATTAAAGGAAGCAGCAGTAGATTAGTGCAACCTTCATCAACTAAAAACTAGCTCAATTCGTCGATGAATTTCGACTAGAAGTCAAGGAATGGGTCAAAGCAGGGTAGAGCAGACACTGCCAGTCAAATATCTAGAGCTGGCTCAAATAGCAGGAAAAATCAATAAGAGTCGTTATTCAATGCCAAGTATGGATCTAATCGCAAAGAGATTTCTCAGACAGAGGGAAATACTAGAAGACCTTCTGGAAATTTAAGGGATAATACAGACACATCGAAATTCAATTTGAAGGATCCTTTAAATTAGTTCTTTGAAAATGCAATTTAAGCATCATTCGGCAGAATATCCACCTACGTCTATGCCCCTGATCAAAAGCCCGTTAGAGATGATCCAACTATCAAGCCTAACGTGAACTTCAAGCTAACTTATGTGCCTTCTTACAATGGAAAGACCTCCAGGAATAATATAGTATACATCGACTCAGAGCACATCCTCTTCTATGTAATTATTTACTCTATTTTTAATTTCTTTAGTCTTCGACAATGATTGTAGTCATGAATATAAACACCTATCAGCAGCAGATACTTCAGGGACACACTGAGGAGGTCCAGCATGTTGGCTTTAACAAACCTATATTTATGCTGAGCTCGGCTTAGAAAGCAGATAAAATAAATAAGCAGCCTAGCTTCACAATTTGGGATCTAAAGTCTTGCCACCGTCTCACATCTGTCTGCTATCATAGTGAAAATATCACGCAGGTTGGATTCTGTGAAAACGGAGAGTATCTTGTTACTATAGGCGGTAGTGCGCAGAGCAATGTCACGCTAGCTGTTTGGAAGGTCAAAGATTTGCTTAATGCTGGAAAAACGAACAAAAACACGATAAAGGGATTACAGCCTCTCTGTGAGACTAGTATTGGGAGAGTATCAGTGAACACGTTGTATTTCGATCATGGCCATTCAGACAATCACAACATCAACATTGTCCTTGGTATTGACAAAGGAGTTAAGTTTTTCACCATAAAACTACCAGAAAAATAGATTGAGGAGAAGAAAGCCACATATGACTCAAATGAGAGCATGACTAATATTTACGGAATAGCATTCTAAGGAGATGATATATTCGCAGGAGGGGAGAATGGCAATGTCTACGTATTCCGCTAAGACAAAGTAGTTGACAGTAAATTTAAGGCAGAATCTACGGGTATTCACTGCTTAGGCTTTATAGATAGAGGAGATAATACATATCTAATGACACTATCAGATAGTGGTAAAGTGTCTTTATGGCACGAAGGTCAACTTGCAAAGCAGTATGAGCTATATGATGAAGAAATCAATTGTAAACTTGGATCAGAGAGCCTGAAGCTTACTCCTAGGTCTTTCGGCTATAAGAATGATACTCTCATCATTGGATTTGAGTAGAATGTGATTATGAAGTATGATATCCGCCGTAATCAACGTGAAGTACTTATTGCTGGACCTTCTCACTCGCCTTAGTTTATGACTATGCATCCAACACGAAAGATATATGCTGTAGTTGGATTGGATAAGCACCTAAGACTCTATTCATATGAAGCTCATCTGTAAAAGAACAGAAATTCACTTATAAACTGCATTGAGTTACAATATCAAGCCAAGAGTTGCGACTTCTCTCCAGATGGCAAATACTTTGCAATGGGATATGAGAATGGAGTGTTTGAGGTATTCTAGGTCTATGACAATGAAGGGGAGTACTTCCAAATTGATTGCTTGAAGCTATTCGATCTCAACAGAAGATACCCAGTTTAGTGTGTCAAGTTTTCACCTAATGGAAAGTATTTGTTAATAACATGTAATAAAGATATCGTGGTGTTCAATGCGACTACTGATGACTTTGAATAAGAAGGATTACTCAAAGGAAACATCTAATAAGTGACATTTGTATAATTTGACAAGACTTCTCAATATGCAATGACCAATTCAATAGATGGTTAAGTAATAGCTTGGGAATTGATGCCAGGAGCTTTCACTAAACTCGATCCAGCAAAAGTTAAGGATGTATTATGGGATAGAAAATGCTGCGTTTATGCTTGGGACACTATAGGCACTTGGCGTAAGATATTTTCCATTATTTTATTATTGCTATTTAGAGAGTGATATGATTGAGACTGATATGAACTGTGTGGACATCTCAAATGATAAAAAGCTTATAGCTGTATCTGACAGCAATGGAGCTCCAAGAATCTACTGCTACCCAGCATATCTAGTGAATCAAAGTTATTTGACATTGGAGCAGGGACACATCAGCTAGGTAATAAACTCAAAGTTTACGCCAGAGGATTATTTCCTTATCACTCTGGGTGAAGCGGATCATACTATGATGGTCTGGAGTTATAAAGCTTTCGGCTTGAATAAAGATACAGTTTAGACAGTTACTTCAGGTGCAGTCACAGATAAAGTCCGTCCTCAAATTAATAGCCAGTTAAACGATAGTAGTGATAGGCAGGAGATGAGGACACCTGATAACAAGATGAACACAAGCAGAGATATAGATATAGCCCTGAATAAAAAGCTTGAATAACTTGGAGAAAGCCAATCTAAGAAAACAATTAACAAAGACGATGAGAACCTGCTAGAATGAAGTATTGCTGATCGAAGAAGCACATTGAAGGAATAAAGCATTAAATAAGCAAATTCATAAGTACTTGTGTAATAGTGAACGCAGGATAGGAGAGATAGTCTATAGTGATATAAAGCTAGAAGGATCTATAGAGGTGCTCTACTCTTGAATGACAGCGCAAAAAGATATTTCTGGCATGGATGGATAAACACATTTGGATTAAATTTATTTAACTTAACTATATTAGATTTGCTATGCTCTCTTAAATCTATATATGTCTTGGGGTTTTGGGGTTTTGGGGTTTTGGGG